CTAAAAAAAATCCTCTCTGCTCTGCCTGTTCATCCTTGGAAATCCCTGATCTTTCCACTGTCCCCAGTTTTGTCTTTTCCAGAATGTCAGGTACTGGAAGACAAGCTCTGGTTGTTACCATGGTGACAGCCAGTGTCATGCAGAAGATTATAGCTCACTATTCTCTTGCTCCATGGCTGCTGTGTAAGGCAGGCGAGACAAGGTGGTTGGGGATGGCAGTTTTGATCTCTAGTTTTCAAGGCTGCTTGCTTTCTCCGGTTAGGTCTCATTTTCAGGGAAACAGGAAATTTATTCTCAGAACTTTATATTGGCTTATAACAATACGGAATTTGGGAACGAAGCCACTGGCTTAACCAAAATCTCTGAGAAGAGAGATTTTGCTTATCTTTACAGAACAATACTGGCTCTTACTCCTTCTCCATGGAGATGGCCATGCCTGTGATAGAAGGATGAGACTGCACATTCGGTCCAGTCAGCTCCAGTGGGGAGGAGGGATGGAAGGGCTTCTGTGTACGCAGGAATTGGCTCGCTCCACATTTGCCACCTGCACTGTGATCCTTTCCCGGCTGGGCATCAGTCCAGCCGTGGTCAATGATTGTTTGTAATCAGCTTTGTTTGTTTAAATGTAGGCTTTATTTTCAGCAGTTTTAACAACTATTTATAAACAGCTATGTTGCAAGTGTGCTTTGGAGAAGACAGGCCTGCGGCCAAAGCCAAGCATTATAGTGTTTGTCCCCTTTCATTTTCCCTTAGGTTTTCACAGCCCTTTGGACACTACTGTGCTACATGTGTCGAAACAACGTGGGCTGCCCGGAAGGGATTCTCGGGTCCAGCAGGCAGCGCTTGGCCACTGCATGTGCTGGGTTCTTCCACCCATCTGCTCGTCCAGCAGTGGCTCCTATATGTTCCACGCTGCTCTTCCCTCTGCCCTTTGGATTGGGTCTTTAAATTTGGCGGGGGGGTCTGATTTTCATTCTTTATGTGTTCTAGATATTAGTCCTTTGTCTGAGGGACAGCTAGCTAAAATTTTTTCCTACACTGTGGGTTGTCTTTGCACTCTGTTGGTGACTTCTCTTCCGTACAAAAACTTTTTAATGAGATGAGACCCCAGTTGTTTCTTCTTTGTAGGATTTCCCGTGAGATCGGGGTTTTGTTTGTGAAATCTTTGCCTATGTCTTCAAGAGTTCTGCCTATTCTTCTAGCAGATATAGTGCTTCTGATGTCCCATTTTTAATAGGAAAATATACACATGGCTTATTTGTCCTGGCACTATGCAGATAAAAGAGAATAGTTTAAAAATAATGATTTTAAAAGTTAGGTAGGGGCTAGGACAACAGATCATTGGCAGAGCACTTGTATAACATGGGCAAGGCTCTGAGTTCAAACCCCAGCATGGTAATCAATCAGTCAGTCAATCAATCAATCAATGCCAGGAATTGTGCCACACCTTTAAGTCAAATAATTTTTCTCTATGACATTTGGTATGGAAATGCCCTGTACTGTGTAGATCTCTGTGTAAGCGTAAGAGCACATAGCTGTGCAGAGGGCAGCCCTGATGCCTGCAGGTGAAAATGTGAAATGAAAATTCCATTGACTATGAGATGCATCCTGATGCTTTATACCTGGATGCGTTCAGACCCTGTCACGCATTGTGGACACCCTTCTTTGCAGTCCTCAAGCAGGGAGCAGTTGTTTACATCCGGTCTACTCTTCCTCTTGTACAGATGAAAAGAAAAGCCTACCTTTAAAAAGCAAACTATTATTATTTTGTTGTTGTTGCTGTTTAAATAAGGTCTTGCTCTGCTGCCCAGGTTGACCTCAAACTCCAAGGCTGCAGTGATCCTGCTGCCTCAGCCTCTCTCCCAGCCAAAGAAAGTGTAACTTTTTTGTGGTTTTTTTTTTTTTTTTTCACTGCTGAGAGTGAAACTCGGAGCTTTGCACTGCTGGGCAAGTGCTGAACCACTAAGCTACATCCATAGCTCTTCCTAATCAGTACTTTAATTGTATATATGATAATTTGTTCGTCGTATACAACGTGTAATGATCAAATTGGGCCAGTTAGCACTTCTATCTCCTTAAATTTAATTAAAAAGTAAGATATACTTTTAAAAAAAGTTGGTACCGGATTGGTGCTGCTGGTGGAGGGAGGCTGGGTAACCGCACACATGGCGCGATGGGCTATAGTTGAGACAAACTATATCGCGTTTTGTAAAGATCTAGAAGAGAGGAGCTCAAAGGCTTCACACAGGAGGTAATGATAAGGAGACGGAAGTGTGAATAACCCTGATTTGATAGCACACAGTGTGCCATGCGCTGGGGTATTGCGCTGTACCCCATAAATTCCTGCCTGTGGAGTGACACGGGGATCGCAGGACCCCCTGCTCGGAGGCAGCGCAGCTGAGTCAGCACGGCGCTCCAGGCCCCGCCCACCAGTGCCGCAGGAGGTCTGATGATGCCAGCCCTGCGCTCACCGCTGCGCTCCTCAGTTGGAAGGACAAGGGCGACCACCGCCCAGCCTTGCATATTGTGGTTGACATCGCTGTGGGAGCTTTTCTCACCGACCCTGAAGCTGCTGTTGTGGCCTGGCTTATGTTTTCTGCTTAGAAAACATACCCAGCGAGGTAAACTAATGTGTTTTTTTTTTTTTGTTCACATTGGTCATGAATGAATCTTTTCATCTCTTGGGAAATAAGCCATTGCATATATGGAAACTTCCCTTGAATTTCTAAAAAAGTGGAACATGCACTTGTGTGCGCCCCCAAGAGTGCACCGCGTAGTATGCACATCTTTTGCACACCGATCGGTTAGCACTTAGGACCAGTAAATCCATCTGTTATGCTCATTAAACCTCTCAGCTTCAGAAATCTGGCTTTTTTGCAGCATGGATGATAATAAGCCAGGCAATCTCCGCAGATCCTGTTGTCAGGGACGTTTGCTCAGAGTTCCTGAAACACAATCGAGCAACTGTAAATTACCGACCTCCTCTAGAAAGTGTTTCTTCCTATTTCAGAGGCCTCTAACTTTTCTTTTTTTGTTTTTCAATCTAATGTTTATTCCATCTAAATGTTTTCTCTCAGAAAGGCTGAGATTGTTTCATAAGGAGTCATTTTGTCCCTTCTGATGAAACCATCGTCCCTGCCCTGTCAACCTGCGCTGGGAGAGTTCACAGTGATATGCAAGGGCCGCCTCCCTGCTGAGTGAGGAGAAGACTGCCACTCCCGGAGAGCAGTGACCAGATAGATGCTTTAGAGGTTGGTTGTTCCATCTATCTGGGGGAAATGAAGCTTCTGAATGGAGGCTGAGATCATAAATTGTCCAGGACAAGGACTCATCCATCCATCTGTCCACCCAGCTGTCTATATCCATCCATCCACCCACCCACCCACCCATCATCTATCCATCTCTCTGTCTGTCCACCCATCTATCCATCCGCGTTTCCTTCCATCCATCTGTCCGTCCACCCACCCATCTGTCCATCTCTCTATCTGTCCATCCATCTGTCCATCCACATTTCCTTCCATCCATCTGTCCATCCACTCACCCATCTGTCCATCTCTCTGTCTGTCCACCCATCTATCCATCCATGTTTCCTTCCATCCATCTGTCCTTCACTCACCCATCTATCCATCTCTCTGTCTGTCCATCCATCTATCCATCCACGTTTCTTTCCAGCCATCTGTCCTTCACTCACCCATCTGTCCATCTCTCTGTCTGTCCACCCATCTACCCATCCATGTTTCCTTCCATCTGTCCATCCACCCACCCATCTGTCCACCTATCCATCTACCTGTTCATCTGCCCATCCATCTATCTGTCCATCCATCCACTGGGGAAACTTGAAGAGCTTACTCTGCCCCAGAAGCACAGGAGGTATAGACAGGTGGTAAAGAGCCCCATCCACACAGCCATACCACAGCAGCGCAAAAGTGTCCAAGAGCCCCAGCTCCAGGTGACCACAGGCTGACCAGGGCAGGCTCCGTGCAGAGCAAGCCTTGGAGATGGATGCTGGGGAGTGGCCTTCACTCTTGAGGTGCAGTTGGAAGACGGCTGTCCCTGCAGAGGACATGGCAGCAGAGAAGCTGCAGGCACAGGATGAGGAGTGGCCAGGCCATGCCCTGACTCCCAGGTGTGCAGGAAGGATAGCTGCACTCAGAGGACTGGGTACCAGGCTGGGAAGCTGTGGTCATCAGGAGCTCCTGGCATAGGCAGTGGGGCAGTGGCAGTGCCTTCTCTGCTGGCTTCTTGTATAGGAAGTGGATAAGGTAGGAAGATGCCACAGCAGCAGGAACAGAATAAAATCTCCCTGAAAGACTCCAGGGAAATGTGAAGGCCAGAAGAAGGGTGCTGATGGCGGGAAAGGATGTGGCTGGCTACCCTGGGGGACAGGAAGAAGGAAGATGGAGAGAGGAGAAGGTGGAGGAGGTGCTGTGGGAGTACCTCATGCCTTGAGATGACAGTTGTGCTACTTTTCAGATGTGTTGACTAAAACACCAAGTCTTAGGTCTCTTGGTAGCTCCCTGGGCACCCAGAAGAAAGCCCTGAGGAAAAGAGGAGCTGTCCCTTGGGCACTCTCTGGACAACGGAGGTCATGGGGTGCAGAAGCCCTTTGAAGTCAGGTGTGACTGTAGTGTGTCATTTGGAACCCCTCTCCTTCTTCTGTCCCACCATTTTTGTGGGACTGGGGACTGCAGCCAGGGCCTTCACACTAAGCTACATCTACAGCACCCTGCCCCACACACTTTAAGCTTTTTATTTTGAGAAAGGATCTCTCTGAGTTGCTTCGGCTGGTGTTGAACTTGCAGTCCTCCTGCCTCAGCCTACCAGAGTGCTGGGGTTACAAGTGTGTGCCGCCCCACCCGACCTGTTCCATTCCTTTGGGAAGTAGCTGAAAGGGAGCTGAAGTTGTAGCTCAGTAGCAGAGCACGTGCTTAGCATGTGCAAAGCCCTGAGTTTGATCCCCAGCATCGAATGTATGAATGAATGAATGAGCGAACTGAAGCTTTAAGGTGAAAACAACTTTTAAACAAAAGCAGCTACACTTCCAGATGCATTCCTCTCCTCCCGCCACTATCTGCACACTCCTGGTGATGGCCACGATGGTCCTTGGGGCCGCAACTCTCAAGTCTCATGCTCGCAGGTCCTTGGGCTCCTCCGGGGTCAGCTTCATCAGTTTGTCCACACAGAGCAGGATGAGGGTGAGAAACCAGAGGCCCCAGCCCACAGCGGCCGCGATCCAGCCGTACTCGTCCACACCGGAGCGGCAACACCGGGCTGCTTGGGGGCAGAAGTCGGTGTCTGGTGGGGAGGGGACAAGAACAGGGTGCATCATACCAGCTTGCCAGTTCTTCTTTGAGTAGCAGCAGAAGGAAGAACAATGAACAGTCTGAAAGCTGACATTGGTAAGCGAAGTACCTGCTGCAGGCCACATGCTGTAGGACGTATTTCTCACAAGATGATGGGTATAAGTATTATTTGTTTGGTGCTTGGGATTGAACCCAGGGGGCTTGAGCATTGGTGCATTCTACCACTGAGCTACACCCTCAGCCTGTGATTGGTACGATTATTCTTCTGATTTTATGAGAAGAAACTGGGAATGTAACTTGCCTAAGGTTGTAAGATGGAGCAAGTAGAGCTCAAACTCAAGTCTGTGGGAGGCCAGTGCATATTATTAACTAACACATATTACTGCCTACTATGCTTCTTTACACTATCCAGAAGTAAACATATTTGGTCATTCAGTGAGAACAGGATAAAGGGCCCCACCTTAAGCAAAACGTTCTACTGATTAGACATGGATGACAGTGGTTGCTTTGTGAATCACCGAGCTCCTCGCCCCTGAAGATAACTAAGTAAGGGATGAACAGAAATAAGCAAAGGATACCCAAACCAAGCTCCTGCCTTGGCTGGAAGTGGGGCTAGTCATGGACTTCCTTCCACTAACCCTCTGCAAGCATTTGAACTCAGGGTGCTGACAAGAGGACAAATCATTAAAGCCGTCAGTGCCAACACTCCTGAGCCTAGACTGGGATCAAAGCCAAAAGAGCTTTTTGACCTGCTCAGCAAACAGTGCTGGGATGAGCCACTGAGCCACCAGGGCCCCAGGAGGGCAGGGCAGGGCAGGGCAGGCACTCAGCTACCTGACATGGGGTCAGCTGACAGCAAGGGCTCTTATGTCCCCTCCCAGCTCCCGGGCCTGCACACTCTCAAGTCAAGGCAGGACAGTGGGCAGGGCAACTTACTGGGGCAGTGCTCTAGGGTCCCCTGGTCTGCGTGGGGTGCTGTCAAGGTTGAATTTCTGCTGCTGCTGGCTTCTGAAAGAAAAGACAAGAGATGGTCTCAGGCTGAAGGAAGAGTCCTTTCCAGGTACAGGATTTGCAACCTTGTTTGTAAATCAGTAGTGAGCACTGTAAGTGTCAAAGAAGTTCCAATGCAGGTATAATGAACTCCTATGCAACAAAGAAAGATTACTTGCTATTGGAAACTAATTGTGTCCCCTCCTAATTTTTATGCTGAAGTCCTAACCCCCAGTGTGACTGTGGGTACAGAGAGGACCTATGAAGAGGTAGGGGAGGCTAACAGAGGTCACGTGGGCGTGTTCTGATGCAATGCAACCAAGGTCCTTGTAAGAGGAGGACGTGACATGGGGGGGTGGTCAGAGGCACAGAGGACAGGCGGGCGAGGACGCAGTGAGGTCACCAGCAGCTGAAGAGGGAGCCGCAGGAGAAATCAAGCCTCTCGACACCTTGATCTTAGGTTTCCAGATTCCAAAGCCTTGAGGAAGTAGCTTTCTGTTATTGAAGCCCCTCATCTGTGGAGTTTGTTTTGGCAAATACGCTCCTCTTTTCTTACCACTCTGCTCTCGCTCAGCCTCGCTTTATGTATTTTCATTGCTCTTCAGTGACCGCAGGCTTGCTCTGCAGCTTTCCAAACACTCTATTTTAGATGCTCTCTGTGCAGAGAGATACAGCTACAAAACGACTTTTCTACCCAGGCCTGGTGGTGCACACCTGTAATCTCAGCTCTCAAGAGGCTGAGGCTGGAGGACTTTGGGGGTTTGATGCCATAAAACTGCATAATGAGCTGGGGATATAGCTCAGTGGCATAAGCGCCTGCCTGGTAAGCACAAGGTCATGAGTTCGATCCCCGGTACCATAAAAAAAAAAACAAAAAAAACTGCATAATGAGACCCTGTTTCAAAAAAACAAAATAACAAAAAAAACCTTTCTAGTATATATTGAAACAATCACAGAAATATCTGGAATGTCTTCTCTTACTATCTTCAGTGCCTTTCAAAAAAAAAAAGCTTGAACAAATACTCATTAAAACATGACCTCACTGGGCGTGGTGGTGCAAGCTTGTAATCCTAGCACTTGGGAGGCTAACGCAGAAGACTGTGAGTTCGAGGCCAGCATGGGGTATTTAAGCAAGTTCAAGGCCAGCCTGTACTACGTAGTGAGACCTTGCCTCAAACCCCTCCAAAAAACCTTTGAAATATGACCTGGATTCTTTGTTTCTGATGGTTATGATGTTGTTACCCAGGCACATAGTTATGAACAAAAATTAAATTCGTATAAGCAAATCCAGAGATTGCCAGAATACACAGCACTGAGGATTGTGCCTTGATTCATAAGCAAGGAGCATGGGATAAAAAAGAACCTTAGCAGGAGTTCTAAAAGGTCTGTCAGACAGGTTGGGTTATGGAAGTGACTGTAAGCATCAGAGGAAGAAAACCCACAGTCCCACGTTCACGCCCATCACTGATAAGAAGGCAGATGATCCATTTTGTCTGCTACCAGTCCCTACTGCTTGTGGCTATTTAAATTTATTAACATCAACTTATTTTTAAAAATTTTGTCGATACATATTTGTGGTACATAATGAATACATTTATCATGGGGCGTTGGTACATGTACATAACATGTCTTAATTCTTTTTTACATCCTCTTAACTTAAAAATTCAGCTTCTTAGTCACATTCACCGCATAGCAAGTGCTCATGGCTGCATGTGGCCAGTGGCCGCCATATTGGGAACACAGCATGGAGATGAGACATTCCTATCATCAGAGAAAGCCCTGTTAGCACGAGTGCTCATGTAGGCAGGTCAGAACCAGGAGACCGATTCTGAAGACCATTTCTGGAAGTTATACTCCTGTTCAGTTTGCTTCCTTAGGAATAAAGAAGGAGGAGAAAGAGGAAGGGGAAGTGGAGGATGACCACAAAGAAGAGAGAGAACTTTCAGTGCCCCACTGGCTGGGGTCAGGATGTCCTCCCAGGGTGCTGTGGTCACAGCGCAGGACAAATTGGGAAGAAAGCTGTCATTTAGCCAAAGCCAGGGAACTGCTACCCAGACTAATTTTATGCCACCCAATCTCTAAGCCGCTCCGTGGTCCTGGTTGAGCTATGGTAATTGCCTCGATGCAATCTGGTTATTACTGTAAATTATTTACAGCGAAAGGGCTTAGAGCCTGGTCTTTGTTTTGGAGAAGTTGATATCAACATCTAAACTTTCTTCCTACACCAAATAACTTCCTTGGCCTGACTTTCATCTCCCCTCTGCAGCGAGAGTGGCAGTGTTGCCTTACCCCCTCTGGAGCAAAGGAGTGGAAAACATCTAGTTAATCAATACTAGTATTAGGTTAGCTCATTTGAAATTACCATTTTTATAGGTCAAAAATCATTCCCTATCAGCAGTTTTATATGGTTGAAGTGGAACAGCTCAGGTGAAAATTCCAGACAACCCCTTCCTCCCTGATAAGCGGAACCAGCTGGGGACACAGCCCACGGGGAGACCCCGCAGGTCAGTGCCAGCAATTTTGTCAAAAACATTTTTTGAGCCTTTTTTTTTTTTTTTCATAAGTGAGGCATTGTAAAAGTAAGCAGAAAAATTAAAGTCCCTTATCTGGGGAGTGGTGAAGCTGGGAAATAAGACCAACTTGCTAAAATAATGGCTAACACTCACGGTGCGCTCGCCACATGCTATTCTGCTGTTCTTTCCAATCAGCCATCTCATTTCCTCTTTGCAAACAAACCTAGAAGTCACCGCCGTGTTTATCCTTGGACTGCGAATGAGGAAACGGCCCAGAGCGGTGAGGTAATTTGCTCAGAGTCACACAGCAGGTAGTTGTGGGAGCTGGGGTGGATTTGGGGGTTGGCGGTTTCGAAGTCCACTACACACGGAGTCCCCTGGCAGCGGCTGCGGGACGGATTCTGGGCTGAGAGGTTCAGGCAGACTCCGTGGGGGGGATTGGGGGCGGTCTGTCGGGAGCAGAGCAGACAGTGTGACAAGATCAAAGCCAGAAGCAGGAGTGAGGGCGCTGCTTGGAGCGGCAGGGTCAGCAGGGAGGCCGAGCAGGAGTCGGGTGTGGGGAGGCTGGCCAAGGGGTGGGCAGTGAAGGAAGCATCCAGACTTTGTGGCGTAGCGAGCCAGCCGGGGGCAGTGGGGCTGTGATCTGGAGGAACCCTGACCAGAGTCTGTCGTTCAGACCATTTGGTTCTCTGATGGGTACGGCTCCCTCCCTCTCTCTCTCTGCCTCTCTCTGGGTCTCTCTTTCTGTCTATCTGTCTCTGTCTTTCTCTGTTTCACCCTGTCTCTGTCTGTGTCTCTCTCTCTCTGTGTCTCTGTCTCTCTGTGTGTGTGTTTCTCTGTCTCTCTCCTGTGTCTCTCTCTCTCTCTGTGTCTCTGTCTCTCTGTGTCTCTGTCTCTGTCTGTGTCTCTCTGTTTCTCTCCTGTGTCTCTCTCTGTCTCTCTCTCTGTCTCTCTCACTGATGTCTGTCTCTCTGTGTCTCTCTGTCTCTCTGTCTCTGTCTCTCTCTTATGTCTCTCTGTTTCTCTCTGTCCCTTTCTGTCTCTCTCTGTGTCTCTGTCTGTCTCTGTCTCTCACTCTCTCTGTCTCCCTCCCTCCCTCTCCCTCTCTCCCTCTCTCCGTGTGTCTGTCTCTGTCTGTCTGTCTGTCTGTCTCTGTCTCTCTCCCTGGGAGTGGGCGAAATCCCCTCTCGGAGCTGAATGGAGCATTTGATCCCGGTCTTCTGCAAACCCGACGCCCACACCCTGTCCCACCCCACTCCCTGCCGGAGCCTTCCCAGGAGCTTGTTTCCTCCTGGCTCTGTGCGGGACCAACCTGCGCGGGCGGCCTCGGCCTGGTCCTCCCGCCCCCACCCCTCCCGGCAAGGCCAGGATAAAGCTCGGCTCTACCTGCGCGGCCCGGCGGGCAGGAGGCGAGGACCAGGCTGAGCAGCAGCGCGGCGCGCGGGGCGGAGGTGAGGCGCGGCGAGCCCATGCCGCGGGGAGGCACCTGCGGGCCGGGCGTGCGGGCGTGCGGGTGTGCTGGGCACCAGGCGTCCTGCGTGTGCGTTGTGCTGTCTCGAGATGACTCCTGGCTTGCGGGAGCTGGGAAACTTCTGCTCGGTGTTTGGGGGAGAAAGGGGGTGGAGCCAAGGAGAGCTCTGCTGTCACAGCGGCTTGCACCTGGCTGGAAGGGCGCGCCAGCGAACCTTGCTGGCTGGCGGAGAAAGGACCGGGAGTCCTGCCCTTCCTCACGGGGAAAAGAGGAGACCGTGTCCTTGGGGGCGACTTTGCCGCCCCTTGCGCGTGCAGCGGGAGCCTGGCCTCCCCGCTCACTCACTCAGTCCAGCATCCCCTGAGCACCTGCTTGCGCGCTGCCCTATGGAAAGTCCACCAAACCCTGTCCTCCAACCGCTCTAGCCAGGGACCCGGAGTAGCGTTTGGGGAGTGACTCTGGAGGACAAAGTGCCTTGGGCTCGGCAGCAGGAGGCCACATCTGCTGTGGGATGCTTCGGGAAGAAAACAGCCTTTGAGTTCAGGGCCTGGCGAGTGGATAGGATTTTGACAGGTGGAGAGAAGAGGGCATTGCGGGTAGGAGGGGCGGCGGAGCAGAAGCCCGGAGGGAGGTGGCGCTCAAGGCCACTGTGAGCCCAGCACGGAGAAGCATAGGAGAGCCCAGGAGCAGGAGCTGGGGAGGAGAGTGCAGAGCCCAGGAAAGCAGGAGGCTGTGTGCCAGGCTGGGGAGTACGAGGCAACCAGGCGGCCAAAGGAAGATTTCGCGCGGAGTAGTGACTGCACTGGAGCTCTGCCTCCCTCCGCAACATTTCCGGTGGTGTCCTCTTGTCCATGGGGTATCTGCCAAGCCTCCCAGTGGATGCCTGAAGCTCTGGATAGTACTGCATCCTAGAAATACTAGGTTCCCCCCATGGAAATGCATTCCTATAATAAATCTCAATTCACAAATTAGTTACAGGGAGGGGTTCACAGTGCAACTAATAAGGAGACAGAGCAGTTATAAGAACATGCTGTAGTCAGCATCACTGAAAACTTTTGGGTTGTTTCTTTCTGGAATTTTCCGTTGAATATTTTGGGTCGGTGTTGACAGCAGGTAACTGAAGCTACAGGAAGTACAGCAGCGGTAAGGGGACCACAGCAGGGTACTGAAGGCACCGTGGGTCCGGAAGGCATTGACCTAGGCACGTGAGGCTTGAAGATGCCTGAGACGTGGTCTCTGCCCTTCTGGGGAGTGTAGCGCAGCAGGTGCACCGAGTGAGGCCAAAATAATTTTGATGCTGGGGATATAGCTCAGTGGCATAGCACCGGCCTGGCAAGTGCAAGGTCCTGAGTTCAATCCCCGGTACTGCAAAAAAAAAATTTTCTTTTGGATGCATTATGGCAAGACTGGAACATGCGGTTCTCCCACGGTTACAGGGATATAGAAGAGGGAATGATGAAATCTGCTAAGAGGTTCAGGGAGGGAGGCTCAGAGGAAGTGACGTTGGGCTGGGTATTGAAGGGTTGCCTCAACTTAAGTGCCTTGGAGCTGTTCAGGGGGTTGGTAAAGCACACCTCTGGGTGGGTCAGAGGCACAGCCTTGAGTACTGCACCTGGTACCTGGTCCCTTCCTCTCTGCCTCTGCTCCCCTGCTCTGCTTCTGGGGTGCTGTGAACTAAGCATCTTTGCTCTGTCACGCCCTTCAAGCGACCATGCACTAAATTCCCTGAAACCGTGAGCCACATTAGATCTCTCCTTCTTAAAGTTGTGGCCTTGGGCACTGTGTCCCAGCTGTGGGAAAGCTGATGAAGGCAGGTCTGGTGAGAGAGTGAGGGGTGGAGTCCAGCCTTCAGAGTTATCTGGAAGGACATGCAGGCCACACAAACCCAGAATAAGGAAGTCCTACTGTAGTATGGCAGCAGGCAGAGACATTTTCTTCTGGCTTCCCCAGAGGCACAGACTGGGGGTGGCTCTCTGTTCCAGGACTTGGGGATGGAGCAGAGGTGCTTGAGGACGGGGTACCAGGCGATGCACAAAGTCCAGTGCAAGCCTGCCACTAGTCGGTCATTTACCAGTGACCAGGGAACCACTGCACTCCAGGCCCTTGGAGCAGAGACTTTGAGATGAGTAGCACAACCCCTGTCCTCAGAGAGCTAAGAGTCCAGCAAGGATGAGTTAGACATTAAATAAGGACAATGCAGTCAAACCAGAGTGTTGAGCTGATCTGTCTGCAAAGGCTAAGAAAAATCATGGAAGAGGGTTGGGGAGCAGAGGACCCAGAGAGCATTTCACAATGGAGATGGTATTTTTTGGACCCAAAACCTGGAAGACATAGTTCACCAGCCGCAGAAGGGAAGCGTATATGTGAGCCTGTGAAGCATGAGCACATGTCCCGTGTCTGGGAGTAGCGGGTGGCTTACTGTCCAAGGAGTGTGGAGTGTTCCCGAGCACCACAGAAAGGCACCTGGGCTGATCTTCTGCTTGGGGTGGTGTGTACAAGGCACTTGTAGAGATGGACACATCTGTACTTCAGGAACAAGAAGACAGGCCTGTGTGCAGATCGTCTAAGAAGCTATTGCAAAAGCCCTGCTGGACGTCTCCAGGGTCCAGGAGCAAGAGGCTGGGCTGAGGGTAGAGAAGAGCAGAATGGCGTCAGCAGGCATTTAGAGGCCAGTTCCAGAAGGGGATCCATGCCAAGGCATCCAGGAAGGGCCATCTAGGGTGGCCTGGGGCCTTCTAGGTTCAACTTCCAGCCCTGCCTCTTTTTGGCTGGGTGGCCCTGGGCGTGTTGCCTCACTTCCTTTACCTGAAAAGTGCTAGGATAACAGCCCCTCCCTCGGGAATTGTCCCGATGACTGAGTGAATGCTCCATGCAAAGTACTTAGCACAGATGCTAATCGCTCAACTAATGCTAACCACTATCGCTGTAAACATGAGACATGGGAGGACGGTGGTTTGAGGGAATAATAGCGCTGTCTGTGTACTGATAGGTTTATATCCAGCCTTGTGCCACAGAGGGTTTGAGGAAGCTTATCTTCTGTTAACTGAAGTAGATAAAGTGAATTTAAAATGAAAATAAATGCAAAGAGATGAGTCAAAGGGAAACGTAGGGTAGGAAATAAAAATGGGTCTGCAAGAGAGGGTAGAACACAAGATGTGGTATTTCCTGAGCTTTCTGCTGGCCAGGGTAAAAAGGGCAATACAATCATGCAGGTGATTCTTGTGCTCTGAAGATGAAAATAGCAGAACCACTGCTGTGTGTGTGTGTGTGTGTGTGTGTAGTGGGGACTGAACTCAGGAAGCACTGAGGTACATCCTTAGCCCTTTAAAATTTTTTTTTCTCTCATCTTGGAGACAGGGCCTTGCTAAGTTGCCCAACCTGACCTCAAACTTGCAATCTTCCTGCTCCAGCCTCCCAAGTAACTGGATCATAGATGTGCGCTACCACACACACCACCACAGCTCTTGATACTGCTAAATTAAATATTAGAGGAGGCTGTTATTTTGGACTAGGCTCTGGCCCTAAGGTCCAATAGACCAGACTAAAATTCAAAATGGTATCCCCAAACGGAAGTGAAGCTGGGAATCAGGTCAGAGATTGGCCAAATTTCCCAAACAGGCCACTTTCAAACTACATGAGAATTATGTTTCCTCTGCTTTAATCCTTATAAAAAAAAAGTAATCTGATAGTAACTCATTGGTTATTTTCCAATAGTTTCATCTCCCTGTCCATCCCTCGCAAGGACGCGAACTTTGAAATGACCCATCTGTGCTGTTTCTGATCCCTCCAGCCCTGTGCTGTCTCTAAAACCAACTCTTGCCAGGCGTGGTGGTGCATACCTGTAATCCCAGCACTGGGGAGGCTGAGACAGGAGGATTGCTGTGAGTTCAAGGTTAGCTAGAACTGCATAGCGAGGTCCTGTCTCAAAAGCAACCAAATAAATAAAATCAATCAATAAATAAAATAAAATAAAACCAACTCTTCCACATAGCCCACCAGACACGTACTCTGTTTTGGGGAACGCGTGTTGTTCCAGTTCTAGGGTTACACATAAACCCAGTGAAGGCCTTTACACTAAGTGGTGGTGATTTTGTTCTCTGAAAATACCAAGTTCACAGAAGAACATTCCCTACAAGCTGAAGCTTTGCCTTCCTTGGAAAAGATTGATAGTGCAGAGGGCATTGCTTTACTAGAACGGGCACCGTTCTCAGCATTGCCCTGCAAACCCTACTGTGAATTTCGTAGATCAGACTGATTTATCCACTGCTGTTGCCTCCGATGCCGCCTGGACACCTATAGGACTTTGCAAGGTCTCTGGAACGTTGGAGACCTGACAGAAATGTTCTCAGATCCAAAATGTGAAGTAGAATAAAAATGGAAAAAAGCTGGGCAGCGTAAGTAATCATTTCACAGGCAGAGTTAATTTGTCTCAAACGATTAAATGTAAACCATACAGGACTGGGTGCATTTTAGTGTTGGATGTGGGCAGAGAGACATCCACAGGTTCTCAGTGCCCTGTCTGGGGCTACAGCGGAGGTGACAGCCCGCTCTGTCCTACGGGGGGGCGGGGGGGACACACTTCTGTGCTGAGGAGTGGCTGTGGGTACAACCTCCCCTTTTCTTCTTACTGTTGTCATTTGATTTGAGAGTCTGAGATTAGCTGTGTGGGGGACAATTAAGAGACAAGCATTCTCTTATCAACAGGTGAAAGTACTTTTGTTATCCTAAAGTGGCACGGACATGACCGGTACTCTTAGTCCAAAAGGAAGGGCTACAAACCGCGGTCTTAGAAGCATCACCACTATTAGCTGTTTGTAGCAGATCTATAGTTGAGAGAGCGTGGAGCTGGTCAGCTCACCCTGCAACCCTATCAGACAGATGGCATCTGGTTTATTTTGGAGGATGTACCAGGAAACTGCTTCTCTCAAAGCTTGATATTTTGCAGGGACTGTCTCAAGGTTTTGTACTGTTTTGTTTTGTTTTGCTTTTTTTGATGCTTGAGATAGGTATTTGATTATACATTTTAAAAAGTTGCTGGATATGGTTGTGGATGCCTATAGAATCCAGCCCTCTGGGAAGCTGAGGCAGGGAGATCACAGATTCAAGTTCAACCTGGAGAATTTAGGAACTTAGTGAGATCAGGCCTCCAAAAATAAATGAGGGTGGGGTAAAGATGCAGCTCAGTGTAAAGGCCCTGGGTTCAATCCCCAGTACTGAGGAAAAAGAAAACAAGTCTAAGCTAATTATGTCTGTGT